CGTGATGAACTGATCTCTGATGGTAAATCCAATGATAACGACGATGCAAATTACAGAGTTGTACTCAACACATGTTATCTCGCTACATTTGAGGGTGTACAGTACACGTGTTATCTCGCTATATGTGAGGGTGTACAGTACACATGTTATCTCGCTATATGTGAGGGTGTACAGTACACATGTTATCTCGCTACATTTGAGGGTGTACAGTACACATGTTATCTTGCTATATGTGAGGGTGTACAGTACACATGTTATCTTGCTATATGTGAGGGTGTACAGTACACATGTTATCTTGCTATATGTGAGGGTGTACAGTACACATGTTATCTTGCTATATGTGAGGGTGTACAGTACACATGTTATCTGGCTATATGTGAGGGTGTACAGTACACATGTTATCTGGCTATATGTGAGGGTGTACAGTACACATGTTATCTCGCTATATGTGAGGGTGTACAGTACACATGTTATCTCGCTACATTTGAGGGTGTACAGTACACATGTTATCTTGCTATATGTGAGGGTGTACAGTACACATGTTATCTCGCTATATGTGAGGGTGTACAGTACACATGTTATCTCGCTATATGTGAGGGTGTACAGTACACATGTTATCTCGCTATATGTGAGGGTGTACAGTACACATGTTATCTCGCTACATTTGAGGGTGTACAGTACACATGTTATCTCGCTATATGTGAGGGTGTACAGTACACATGTTATCTCGCTATATGTGAGGGTGTACAGTACACATGTTATCTCGCTATATGTGAGGGTGTACAGTACACATGTTATCTCGCTACATTTGAGGGTGTACAGTACACATGTTATCTTGCTATATGTGAGGGTGTACAGTACACATGTTATCTTGCTATATGTGAGGGTGTACAGTACACATGTTATCTCGCTATATGTGAGGGTGTACAGTACACATGTTATCTGGCTATATGTGAGGGTGTACAGTACACATGTTATCTCGCTATATGTGAGGGTGTACAGTACACATGTTATCTGGCTATATGTGAGGGTGTACAGTACACATGTTATCTCGCTATATGTGAGGGTGTACAGTACACATGTTATCTGGCTATATGTGAGGGTGTACAGTACACATGTTATCTCGCTATATGTGAGGGTGTACAGTACACATGTTATCTCGCTATATGTGAGGGTGTACAGTACACATGTTATCTTGCTATATGTGAGGGTGTACAGTACACATGTTATCTCGCTATATGTGAGGGTGTACAGTACACATGTTATCTGGCTATATGTGAGGGTGTACAGTACACATGTTATCTCGCTATATGTGAGGGTGTACAGTACACATGTTATCTCGCTATATGTGAGGGTGTACAGTACACATGTTATCTTGCTATATGTGAGGGTGTACAGTACACATGTTATCTCGCTATATGTGAGGGTGTACAGTACACATGTTATCTGGCTATATGTGAGGGTGTACAGTACACATGTTATCTCGCTATATGTGAGGGTGTACAGTACACATGTTATCTGGCTATATGTGAGGGTGTACAGTACACATGTTATCTTGCTATATGTGAGGGTGTACAGTACACATGTTATCTCGCTATATGTGAGGGTGTACAGTACACATGTTATCTGGCTATATGTGAGGGTGTACAGTACACATGTTATCTCGCTATATGTGAGGGTGTACAGTACACATGTTATCTGGCTATATGTGAGGGTGTACAGTACACATGTTATCTCGCTATATGTGAGGGTGTACAGTACACATGTTATCTCGCTATATGTGAGGGTGTACAGTACACATGTTATCTGGCTATATGTGAGGGTGTACAGTACACATGTTATCTCGCTATATGTGAGGGTGTACAGTACACATGTTATCTGGCTATATGTGAGGGTGTACAGTACACATGTTATCTCGCTATATGTGAGGGTGTACAGTACACATGTTATCTCGCTATATGTGAGGGTGTACAGTACACATGTTATCTTGCTATATGTGAGGGTGTACAGTACACATGTTATCTCGCTATATGTGAGGGTGTACAGTACACATGTTATCTGGCTATATGTGAGGGTGTACAGTACACATGTTATCTCGCTATATGTGAGGGTGTACAGTACACATGTTATCTGGCTATATGTGAGGGTGTACAGTACACATGTTATCTTGCTATATGTGAGGGTGTACAGTACACATGTTATCTCGCTATATGTGAGGGTGTACAGTACACATGTTATCTGGCTATATGTGAGGGTGTACAGTACACATGTTATCTCGCTATATGTGAGGGTGTACAGTACACATGTTATCTCGCTATATGTGAGGGTGTACAGTACACATGTTATCTTGCTACATGTGAGGGTGTACAGTACACATGTTATCTCGCTATATGTGAGGGTGTACAGTACACATGTTATCTCGCTATATGTGAGGGTGTACAGTACACATGTTATCTCGCTACATGTGGGGGTGTACTCAACACACGTTATCTCGCTACATGTGCGGGTGTACAGTACACATGTTATCTCGCTATATGTGAGGGTGTACAGTACACATGTTATCAGGCTATATGTTAGGTGTACAGTACGTGTTATCTCGCTATATGTGAGGGTGTACAGTACACGTGCTATCTCGCTACACGTGGGATTTTACAGTACGTATGTAAGCTCGCTACACGTCGGCTTGTACAAGAGAATTATCTCACTATACGTGGGGTACACTACACTTGGTATCTCTCTACACATGCAGCTGTACAGTACAATAAGTCCCGTTATCTCCATGTGCGTGAAGTTGTTGTAGGGTACAGCTGTTATCTCTCTGTACTGGAGATGCTGTACAATACATCACGAAGTCTTGTTATCTCCACATGCGTTAAACTGTACAAGTCACTTCACGTCATCATGAACGTTCGTTCTACGCTATTGTATGATAATCACATTGATGTATTTATCCCCGAACAATGTTCATAAATGTATATTGTTTACTTTCGAACTGTTCATGATCAACTACGACACAGTGTCACAAGGAAAAACGAACATATATATGTTAGTTGGTGTCAATTTTATTCATGTATAAATCAGTTCATATTTACACGTAAATACACCCAGAGGCAAAACTCTTTCTTTGTCTACCATAGAGTCGTAAAAATATATATCAATTCCCTCTCCACTAATGCAAGTGCTTATTATAGAAGTGAAAACTTACAGTGTTTAAAGTGATATCAGCTTTAAGTTCATAATCATTTCCCCCCCATCCATCTTCCATTATGTTCATTTCTTCGACTACGTGTGAGTGAATATAGTTTTAAGCCGCTTTTAGCAAAATTCCAGAAATATCAACACGGGGGTCACCAGAAATGGACTTGACACATTGTGCCCATGTGGGGAATCGATCCCAGGTCTTCAGCGTGACAAACGAACGCTTTAACCACTACCCTACCTACCCCCTTCGACTAAGTCTAACAGAGGCATATAATGAAAAGCCATCATATAATTTTACATCATCACACTTGATTCATCATTTTTACTTCTTGAGTTTTCTTCCTCTATGAATATGCTGGAACACTGATGTTTGTGAAAGTGTTTGCATGACATGCCTGTAACCTCAATCTACTTTTACTAAATGAGATACAAAAACAGACAGGTTTAAGGAAGTATTGGTTTGGCTAAATGTGAATTCACACTTGCTTTCGGAACCTTTACAAACTAAAGCAAATGCATGTACTCCCGGGATATCCTTGCAGGAGTGCAATTTTGTGAAGACAATAATCACATCTATAAATATACATTGTCATTTTGGAGTCAGGCTTTCCTAGGCATTTTGGCAGTTGGAGTGGTGATGTCTGTTTGGCTAACCTATCCGGCCAGTACTATGTACTTGAGCAGACACAGTGAAGAAAAGTAACTAACTAATTAATAATTTCAAGTGCATGTAGATGAGGTTTCATGGATTATCATGTAGATTTAGGATGAATACAGTAAAACTATTATCAACAGGACCTGAGGTATTCCGGAACCTCTCATTCTTGGCGATTATCAATGGATAACCCTTAACCACACCAGCGATGTTCGGGTATCCAGGCGAACGGTTATACTTCGTGATAGAATACTTTTTCTTATGCTGTTGTTTGGGCATGGTTTGATGAGGAACAATTCTAACCCAGATCTTCATGGGGTTCCCGAAGACCAATACTAACCCGGATCTTAACGTGTGTGTGTGTCGATGTGTCGAGTTAACGCTTTATCTACTAGGCTACAACAACGCAGTTAGTGAACCTAAAAAATAAATCAGTGTCAATGGCAGTCATGAACTGTCTAGGGACTCCAGACATAATCAAATGGGAGGACTTTGTTTATGCTATGCCAAAAAAGAAGATTCCGGATAAACGGGGTTCCGCTGTAGCTAAACGATCTACTTGAAACATCTAAACATTATCGGCATTCTCACATTATAAGACATTTGTGCACTTGTACGAAGGCAAGGCAAGCATGGATGCATAACAGTTATAAAAATATTTCATACACTATAGTCGGACTCAAACTTACAACATCCAACGGTGAACGTAATAAATGTTGGTATGGTACCCCATATATACATCTTCCCGAAGCAAGAGAGTTAACTGACTATAAAAGTCCAGTTTCCACCCTTGCCGAATTAGGTTGGCATTATGGAGTTACATTTTGGCTGGACTAACGAGTCTATGCATAGTCCAATCAAAATCGCGCAACGAAATCGAAATCCGGTTCGTAAACTGTCGTGCAGATTTCGGTCGATTGCAGTATTTGCATTGCATGTGCACCGCCAACTCGTTGTCAACAGATATTTTCCAAATCTTTTCATGTTTTTAATCAAGGTGCTCATGTGATTTGATGCACTTCGCGATGTAAGACCCGTTTTATCACAACATAGATGTTGATTATCGATCAGATCGTCTTGACAGGGCGCCGCCTTTTTTTTTGAAAAAAATGCAAGTGATACGAGAGGTGGAATCTGATTGGCCTATAGGAGAGGCTTAGAGGTGACATAACACGTAATGACCACTGGTGGCGCTACGGTCGAGCCCAGGAATTCCAGCCTAGTACGGCAAGGGTGGAAACTGGACTTTTGCCTCGGGAAGATGCCATATATAATGCATACATAATTCTTATAGTGGACACTCCATAGTGCTACGTACTGGGTGTCTAAGTGACTTGGAGTGAGTGAGTGAGTTGGGTTTAACGTTGTATTTAGTAGTATTTCAGGTATATCAAGGCGTGTAAGCTTCATCCTGACTCGATGCAGTTACTTTGATGAAACCCACGACCACGGGTATGGTACTGACAAACCTAGAAACATAATCAGGGCAAGTCTTGGATTCGAACTACAATAACTGGTTCTGTCACGCTAAGGGAGACAACTCTGAATTGAGGCGCCTTTAGTGTGTGTCACCCCTGCAATCCTGGCAATTATAAACTATTCTTATTTCCTTAAACCAGACATGCCCTGTAATAACTGGTAAAGGACTGAATCACAGCATGACTTTCCTGTGCCTCAAGGAAGGCATTCGTCATTTTGGAAGCATCATTTATATTGGCGAGCAGCAACGAGGTTCTAGTCCAATGAAATCCTTGACGCTGCCATTAGGCACTGACACGATGTTCCTGCTTCAGATACGGGAACAAATCATTTTAATAAAAGACATCATCGATTTTTGTCACGGTAGAGACATACATGAGACACCTGCTGCGGTAACATGACACCTCTCGTCATGGCAACCGGCTGCTGGCCATTATCAGTTCGGATATAAAATCATACAGGATGTTAAACCTCACCCATCATTTGGTAATGTTTTACGAAAAGAACCAGTTTGGTTTCCACACAGGGAGGGCGATCAAACAATATGATCACAATTCACATTTAATTGCGTCCAATAAGGGGCTCGAAACCGGAAGGCAGCCATATTGTTTAACCATCTTCCATTAGGAGAAGGGTGGTACGTGAAGTGGCGAAGAATGAGATCGTCTTGGGACTGTCACTTCCACAATCGGTATTGTAATTACTGAACATCATGGTCATTTCTTAAAGCTGCCTCAAGCGAATTTACGAAAGTTTCAGTTGCCATAGCAACCTACTGTCACCATGAGGCACCCGAGGATGACGTCATCAGCGAATCCATTGAACCACACTTCCAAATTCGTCCATTCATTCTTTGCATGGAATGGAAGCAATTTCCGTTGTTGCCATGAAAACCAGGATTGATGTTATTGTTGTTGGAATTGTCTCTATAATCCAACATTTGTCCGTTGCTTGACATGACCTTGGTAGTGAATGCTTTGACAACACGTGCGCTGAGGTACGCCTGAAACAGAGAACACCCGTGATGTGAGTGAGTAAGTGAGTATGGTTTTACGCCACTTTTAGCAATATTCCGGCAATATCACGGCGGGGGACACCAGAAATGGGCTTCACCCATTGTACCCATGTCGGGAATCGAACCTGGGACTTCGGCGTGACGAGCGAACGCTTTGACCACTAGGCTACCCCGCCACCATGATATAATAAATGGAACTATCAGCTATTTTTTGTAGCAGATATATGACATCAGGTTGGCTTATGCTCAGTGATACAACGATGATATGCAGGGAGACCACATGGAGATGATGGCAGTATTAAGTGAGTGAGTGAGTTGGGTTTAACGCCGCTTTTAACATTATTCCAGTTATATCACGACGTGTCAGTTTCATGTGGGAGGAAAGCCCGAAGTGATGCAGGTCTCAGACGTTTACCATTTCGGTGAGACCCACGAGCACGGGTATGGTGCTGACAAACCTAGAAACATAATCGGGGCGAACTGGGATTCGAACCCACAATTATAGGTTTCTGGACGCAACTCTGCACAGCGAATAGCGGCGCCTCAAATCTAAAGGAATAGCAATGCAGAAATATGTTTCCACATGTAAAAGTGTCTTATATAACACATAGTTAGCACATTTATGAGAAGAGTGTAATGTAGAATACAAGTTTTGTTTAAAATTATCAAGAAGTCTTATTTTAAATAAACTGATAAAAATGTTAATATTCCCAACATCCTTGCTAATCCATACAAAACAACACGAGCATGGGTATGGTGCTGACAAACATAGAAACATAATCAGGGCGAATCGGGATTCGAACCCACAATCATAGGTTTCTGGCATGCCCAAGAGACGCAACTCTGCACAGCGAATCGCGGCACCTTCGACAACTGGGCCCCCGTTTCCCCGCAGTATTAAGTTTGTGATAGGCATTTAGAAGTTGGAAGACCATGACATGTCTTGATGGCAGTATTGTCTCTTCAATACAGCTGTGTCCCCTCCAGTTGCAGCGCTACCCTCACCTGCTTCTTCAGCTTGACCCCCTTCAGCTTGTGCTTCATGTGGTAGAAGATGATAGAGTCGAGGTAGGGGTAGGGTTGTCGTCCCAGGTAGAAGAGGCGCTCTATCTCAAGGATGCGGTGATGTACAACCTGGTTGTGCCGCCTACAATACAGGCAACACGTGAGTGAGTGACGGCTGGGCGTCTGGTGGGGCGTGGATGAGGGGGTGTTTTGGCGGGGGCTTTGCCTCGTTTTAGACAGTATTTCTTTAACATCCCGGATGGCGACGCTAAGATTGAATAGTTTGTTGTTTAACGCCGTACTCAGCAATATTCCAGCTTTATGACGGCGGTCTGTAAATAATCTATTCTGGACCAGACAATCCAATCATTGAGATCATGAGCATCGATCCACGCAATTGGGATACGATGACATGCATCAACCAAGTCATCGAGCCTGGCCACCTGATCCCGTTAGATGCCTCTTACGACAAGCATAGTCGCCTTTTACAGCAAGCATGGGTTGCTGAAGACCTACTCTAACCCGGATCTTCACGGGTCTCCACACACGTACCAAGGTGCCCAGGTTCTCGGGTACCCAGTCAGTTTGTTTGTTGTTTAACGTCGCATCCATCAATATTCCAGCAATATGACGGCGGTCTTGACCAGGCAATCCAGTTACTCAGATCATGAACATCAATCTACTCAATTTGGATTCGATGACATGCATCAACAAAGTCAGCTAGTCTGACCACCCGATCCCGTTCGTCGCCTCTTACGACAAGCATGGGTTGCTGAAGACCAGTTCTAACCCGGATGTTCACGGGTAGGGGAGTAAAATGTAAATAACTGTAAATGCAATGACCGGGTAGAGTGAGTGAGTGAGGGAGTGAGTTTGATTTAACGCCGCTTTTAGCAATATTCCAGCAATATCACGGCGGGGGACACCAGAAATGGACTTCACACATTGTACCCATGTCGGGAATCGAACCCGGGTTTTCGGCGTGACGAACGAACGATTTAACCACAAGGCTACCCGACCGCCCCAAAACCGGGTAGAAGCTGAAGACGCGCACACACTTTGTGGTGCACTTTCGTGAAACTAATTTTATACGCTCTTTAAAACGCAGATTATGAAGTGAGTGTTCTAATCATGTAAACTGTACGTAAGGCCTGTTGACAGGAGTGAGTTGGGATTAGGATTAACCCCGCTTTGAACAATATTTCAGTTCTACCACGACGTGTCAGTTGGATGTGAGAGGACCATGATGCTGGTATCAGTCCTTTACCTCTTTGGTGAAACCAGCCAATAAATATTTAGAGGTGACAAACAAGGAAACATAATCAGGGCGAATCTGGGATTCGAACCCACGATCATAGACTTCTGGTACGCATAAGGGACGCAACTCTGCAAGATGAACTGAAGTTCATCCACGAACAAAGTTCTTTTACACACTGATGAATGCAATAATTTGAAACAAAAACGCACCATCGTGAAAATCATGTTTACACACTGAAACACACATGACAGCCATGCCGCCTGACACGCCCACGGATCACGTGACTCACCTGACGGACAGGTAGATGCGGTCGGACTGGAAGTCCTTGTACAACAGGTACGTCCCCGGGGACGCCTCTCTCATCACGTCCTCAGCGTCCTCCATGCTGAACAGGACAGGGTACGTCCTGGAAATAAAAAAAACATCAATAACATGTGTTGTCTGTATTTCTAAATAATTGTCAGTTTTGATGTTATGAGGGCGTTCTGTGATTGTACTCTTGTAGTATAGGAAATAGAACAGGATTTATTAGACTTTAGCAAACTGCCAACATGCAAAGCAGTTAATGAACGACAACAAAGATAGCAACAAATTCTCGTATATTTAAGTCTCGTAACCCTTAATATGATATCTACGAGTCCTTCCACGTCCTTCATCACACCCTTAGCGAAGTAACCTTTAGCGATCGCTAAACACGCGTTGTCTACAACTTCTGCTCTGTGTTTCATGTTGTGAAGGAAAAAATGCCGTCATCTGTGACTTACGAGAGTGGGGAGAGGTAAAGTCTACCATATTTTGGAATCGTTTCCTATGCAAGAGGTGAGGTGAAATAGGGCTTAACGTCGCGTCCAAGATTATTACACTTATATAGCGACGTGCATGTACGTGTGTGTGTTTGTGTGGCTGCTTGTACTAGTCCGAACTGATGCCGATTTATAGTGCTAGCTCACTGAGATACCATGCCGCAGTTCAACATGAATACCCCACTCAGACACAGTATACTGACTCCGAGCAGACCAGTCCTTGTTTTCGCCCCTTAATGCCGAGCGCCAGACAGGGTAACAAGAAGTACCATCTTTTAAAGTCTTTTAGTATGACGCGGCCGGGGATCTAACCCCGGACCTTCCGCGCTCCGGGCGGACGGTCTACCACTAGACCACGGAGGCGGTTTCCGATGCAAGAGGTTCATGAAGCTGAGTGAGAATGCTGAGGGGACAGTTAGGAGACAAAAGGCTCACGGGAGCTTCATGAAAAGGGGCAACTAGACAAAAAACAACAACAAAACAAAAACAAAAAACAAAACAAAAAACAAACCCAGTAACATTGGGTTACAGTGAAAATTACGGCCCAGTATCATTGTCATAAAGGCATAAATAATATCATGTTTATTACAGCTGGGAATATCTTATAGCTTATTTATAATACGTCAACGCCAGAGAATAACCAAACTCGATGTTCCGCCGGAACAGATTCCACAGGGCGTAAAATTCAAATAGCGATGGATATGATATGAATGGATCACTGAAAATCGGTGACGACACCAGGTGTCAAAACACGACACCTACTAGTACTTGGGGTTGGACATCAGGGAGGCTTTGTTGACGAGAATTAACATTGTGTTTGTATATTTCATTTTCCTAAACACAAGGCCTGTTTGTGAAAAGGCGGTTGTCGGTTTTATTTTTGACAGGGAATTTACAGTAGTTGGTCACACGCATATAGAATACATATTCAATGAACATACAATGAAAAGTTATTATTCAGTTGTCACAACTCTCGTTTTCTGAGCGTAGCTAAGCTATGCATGTGTATATACTTGCTCGCTGACCATTGTCCACCTGTCGCGAAGGTTATCTGAAGTTCAGAGAAGATCAAAAGGTCAGATAAGCGGGTAATCTTTGTAATGGTGGACAAATAGATTGTGTGGACAGTCAACTGACCACATGGTATTCGTCAACAATATATTGGCAGAGGCCCTATTTATCCATGGACTAACATTTGCTCAAGTGTCCCCCAAGGCTATCTAGGCCATGGACAGCGGGTAATACATCCGTGGTTATTGCCATATACAGATAAGACGTGATTGACGTACCAGATGTTGGGAGTCTGTATTGTATTGACCAAACGAGCAATTTTATCACACTGGAATCTATAACACCGGACTCTTACTAATCTGGATCTCTTACAATACCTAACCAAATTTACGGTTCCGATTTTACTACGAGAGCTTTCCACCAAGTCAAACCTGTCCGAACGAGCGAGTTGAAACAAAGGCTTGTAAGGACACATCATTAAATAAGTATATTGACTTAGTAGCTGCGGGGAACTAATATTTATAACAAATATTCAGTTCGATCTTGTCTGTTCTCTGAAAGCGACTCAGCAACTATCTCACTAATCCGGGACACTGTATAAACCGGACTAAATTTCAAAACCGGTTTAGTAAGTTCCAAATGTGATACTACAATGCCTCTGCTTTGTTGTCATGGTGACCTGACTCTGAAGTGTGTTGACTATTGGTTACAACAGCTGCATCAACGATTGCAATGCGCAGTCTCTCATTTTGTCATCCATACGAATAGACGCGAAATAATGAATAACTCTCGTCAATGTTGCATCCAGCGTATAAATAGCAGTCATGTGGCGTCAGGCATGACAAGATTAGCCTGGACATCGTGTTGTTTGAAAAGTATTAGAAGTCATGTTAATTCTTCTAAAAAATATGACTTTTTTATGTCTTTGGTAGAATTCAAACCAATACGTTTAATTTTCTCCCACGATATCCCTTTACATATCTTTTTGTAAAAAGAAATACATAAATATGTTACCATACTTTGTATCGTTGTCTAATGATTGCCTGACCTCCCATATCTATAATTGATGGCAAGAACACATGACCTTTCTTTAATCAAGTACATCAATTCAATTGGGAATTTTACGAATAATGTACCGGTTGTTCAACTCATCTATCTGTATACCAATACAGTTGGGATTACAATGACATGAAGTGCGTGCTCTCTTACTTCCGGGGATATTACACAGTGTTGACGGTGCAGTGGAAGACAGACAGAAGTATGAGAGACAAGAAAGACACGGCCTCTGACTGAGATATGTAACAATATTGACCAAACGAACCCGGATTATAGAGCGATAAAGGTTGTATTGTTAAAACAAACAATTGATTGTATTCGTAATGTGGTAATAAAACATTTGATGTGTATTGAATTACATTAGTTGCCTTCGACAGTAACACACATCTGCTACATTATGTCGTTTTGACGGAGCTAGGGAGGTGTGTGTGTGTGGTGTGTGTGTGTGTGTGTGTGTGTGTGTGTGTGTGTGTGTGTGTGTGAGAGTTGGGGGGGGGGGGGGGGGGGGGGTTGAGGGACTTCATCTTGTTCATGGAGCGTGTGGGTTTCCTGGTGTCAGTTTGGTTTATGAAGCAGCTTTCAGCAATATTCCAGCCATGTTATGCCTTGGACATCAAGAATGCTCACCAACCAGTGCACTATATCCGAGGAGTCGAGCCCGTTGTTTCGGAATGACGATACGCTTCAACAGCTATGCTACACCAGAGCCAAGCATTACTTTATTATATATAGAAAACACAGCATGAATGTTTATGTCATCCTAAAACAGTAACCTAAGTGTTGTATTTATTTAAGTGATTACGTTGTGTTTAAGGGCCACTTAGTACAGAATTATAACAACGTTTAACTTAAAGCCTGATGTCATACAGATCGGTGTCAACAAACACACACTGACTTGTTCATGCAGATTGAGTGAGTGGCGGGTTCTGCTGGTAGGGAAGGACATGTTTACCCTGTTAGCTAACACATGGTTCATCACTGATTTTCAATGATCCATTCATATAATTTTCACCTCGATTTATCCTTTCACGCCAAATGGAATCTGTTTGAGCAGATAATCGAGTATTCTCTATTCGTCGACGTTTTATATATTTGGGTGAAAACGCGACCACGGGTATGTGCCAGAAACTAATGATCAAATCAAGATAAATTTAGGTTGGAAGCACTGAACACAAGATCCTGGTACAATGCTGGGGCGCAACTCTTGACACTGAGTCGCGTCGACCATAACGGCTGGGGTACCGTGACTCCCTGAAAAGGGGTATGCGGCGTTACTCACAAACAACACAGTTATTGTGTTTATACATGAGTGAGAGTCACCCACGTGTGTATATGATAATATATTATATAAACTAGGCTGTTCATCAACAGATGTCACAGTATGTTTTTCTCAGTACCAGCATCTGGTGCAGCTGTATGTGTGGGCAGGATGTTCCAATGACTTCTCGGTTTGTTGGTTGGTTGGTTTGTTGTTTAACGCTTCCCTCAGCATTATTCCAGCTATATGACGGCGGTCTGTAAATAATCGGGTCTGGACCAGACGATCCAGTGATCAATATCATGAGCATCGATCCACGCAATTGGGATCGATCACATGCATCAACCAAGTCATCGAGCTTGACCACCCGATCCCGTTAGTCGCCTTTTACGACAAGCATTGTCACCTTTTACGGCAAGCATGGGTTGCTGAAGACCTATTCTATCACAGATCTTCACGGGTCCAATGACTTCTCGGAAAAAAAATCTCTGTAGATAAACCTTCTCTGTGAAACATACCATTTTTTATTCATAATAGAATAAAAAAATGTACATTGAAATGAAACATAGCAATTGTGATCGATTTAAAGAAAGATATGATGAAAATCTGGTATTATGATATTTAGTAACTCTACGTACTAACGTCGTAAACAACTGATTCGTTTGTCAAGCATAGAAGGACGACAGCATTACAATATTCATGCAGTGTTGTTTTATTTACAGCTAACGTTGCGGATATTATGTGGATATATAACTATCACGTTATGCCTCCAGGTCATTGTGAAAATAGAATAATCTAAATATAAAATTTTATTGGACGTAATAAAGAAAATAGCGGTTGAAAATCAATGATGACATCAGGTGTTTGCACTCGTGTAATGAGTGAGTGAGTATGGTTTTACGCCGCTTTTAGCAAAATTCCAGCAATATCACGGCGGGGACACCAGAAATGGGCTTCACCCATTGTAACCATGTGGGGAATCGAACCCGGGTCTTCGGCGTGACGAGCGAACGCTTTAACCATTAGGTACCCCACCGCCACGGGAAATAATAGCACTTTTTCTGTCTATACTCATTATTTTGTTCTTGTGTTGTTTATGAATTGATTCTCCGTTTTCATAACATTATTCATTTAGGCGATTCACAGCTTGGTATAAAGTACGTTCATTGCACGGGAATCAATATTCATATAATTAATATGTCTTTCCTGTTTCCTTTTCGGTTTCTCGCCCACAGCCAGTGAGAGGTCATTAGTGAAAGAAAAAACGTCGGAAGATAT